TACTCAGATCTGGAGTTCATCATGAAGAACACAAACCCAGAAATCTTTGAATCTTTCATAACTAGATAGATAATGATTTAAGGAGCAAGATATTGTAAAGAAACAACTCCAAATTCTAAATATATCAAAAGATATAAAGATTACAAGTTTCTGGAAATGTTTGGTGGCTACAGAGAAAAACCCTAGTGAAAACTCGTTTTTAGCTTAATGACCCAAGGGGTCTATTTATACTAAGGGCAGTAAGCCCTAAAACACGAAAAGACAAATTACAAAGTCGGTTTAAGGTGAGCTCGGTCGGGTGCTTGTTGGGCTCGTTCGGGTCCTCTCTCGGCTCGTCCGTGTTCAGCTTCCTCTTGTGAGTCCGGGTGCTCGACTGTGCTCTCTTGGCCGGGCTGGACACACTCGATCAGGTCCATGCTTTGCAATGTCCGAGTGTACCTGTTTTTGCTCTAGAATGCAGATGATATGCAAATCCCTATGCTAAAGATCCTAGATCCGAAATATAATGCAAAGAGACTAGAAACCCTAAGAAGTAGAGACCTAGACATGCAAATAATGCACAAAACTTATGCTTAAGATTATAAAAATATAGGGTTATCAGATATGATGAAGGTGATAGCGAGGAAGATGATATTGGTTATAATGATACACAAGAAGGAACAAACGGTGAGGAGGAATATGATGCAAGTGAATCTAATGAAGATGACGACTAAGAAGAAGAGGATATTTGTAATTAAAATGTGGACGAAGAGGTCGATGATAAAAAGGAATATTCTATACAGAATAATATTTGTTTTGATCTTCGAAACACTAGGTATTTGACTCTAACTATGCAAATGTTTACTATAGTTCATTTTTATTATAAATATATTTGGTATGGTTATATATACCTAATGTTTATTTTTATCTTGCTAATATGGTGGAGTCATTTTACGATGTGAGTTGACTGGATCATCGGCCGTTAACTTCTTTAAGGCCTACAAAGCTTTACAGCACCAAAGTCTGATTTGTGTGATTTGATGGGGAGTGATAGACGTTTTCCAACGTACATGTTCGTGAGATTATTCTTTACTTAACATATTTTATCTAAGGTAGTTTAGTATATTTGTTATTTTATATATTTAAAGATTTTTATTCTTATTATAGGAAAAAGAACTGTGTCTAACACCATTTGTACCCAAATAAGACTCAATCCAAAGATTCCGGAGGTCGACAATTTCGTAGCAATGTAAGTTTATTTACATCTATAAATATTGTAGTTAACCTTTGTGATGTGAGTGATATATCTTTGTTTCCGTATCTTATTTTTTTAGGAATCCAAGGAGGTCTACCCGCATAAGTAGACAACATCTATGATTAAGAGAATAGCTATATTTATTTTTTATTTTTCATAATTCAGATTGGTTTTAATGTTAAGACTTCATGACTTCTCTTTATTATACTATATTTTACGTCTTTTACATATCATGCTTTACGTTTTATATTCAATGTATTCAATATAAAGTGGTCAATTTTTAAAACTCATTGATATAGTTCCTACCTGACAATGTAAGTGTTTCACGGCAAACAATAAATCGGGCAGTTCAGACTATTATTGTTTGTAAGGATAGGGTCTTACATAATCACATGCAGCATAGTAATTCGAGTGGGTGACCTTGGATATTTCAAAATACATAGCTTTTGTATTATGGTTATCATACAAATTATTTTGAGTCCCATAGCAATAAGACGAATCGAATATAGAATTGGATAAGTCCCGAATCGGTCGACGTTTCCAGCCGAAAAAAATAATGTTGGGTCCTCGAGAAACTTTCGGAAAGTCCCGTGTTGATGCGAATGTTTTTCAATGGATCCTCCTTAAAACCATCATAGAAAAGTTCTGAATGAGGTTAGTCGAAGAAATATCTCGGACGGATGAAGGTTATTGATAAGCCGGTAGTCGGACCACCCATCCAGACGATGAAAACTTGGGGTCCTCGACAAAGTTTTGTAAAGTCCCGTACTGATGCGAGTATTTTACGATGGATTCTCTTTAAAACCATTATAGAATAGTTCTAAATGCCGATAGTCGGAGAAATGTCTCGACCGGTCGAGGCTTATCGATAACCAGTTTGCCGGTCGACCCATCCGGACGAGTAAAACTTGGGGTCCTCGACCAAGTTTCGGAGAGTCCCGTATTGATGTTAATGTTTTCTGATTACTTACATTCCTAACATTGATAATTTAAGACATTCACGATGAACAATAGATAAAATAGTGTTTACTGTTGTTTTATTATATTGGAAAGAGTTTTACAAGTTCACATGCAACATAGTAAATTGAGGAATGACCTAGGATTTTTGAAAATAGATATGGATAATTATAAAGACCTCTTATTTGTCCCGTGAATTGCCAACGGTAGCTTTTATCTGACGTATTTACGCATCGCATTAAATATATATATGATCTCGAAGCCTTACCTTTAACTTTTCCTACTTTTGCAAACATGAGATTTATTTATATGAATGACAAATGAGGAGAGTTCACATGTTAAGGGTACATGCATAGGTCATTCGAACCAATGTCAATATAGACTGAGATTTTAGAGTTATTCAATAATGTTTTAATTTTGTTGACCGTTCATTTATCTATAAGTTAAAGAAAAGGTTGAAATAAAACAGCTCATAACTCTACTGTTTTTCATTATATATAACCACCATCGAGGAAGACGATTGAGCTAAACAAATATCATTCACAGTCGAAAGTTAAAAAATATAATTCTCTTAAGAAAATGGCAGGAAAGCATTCGCTCGCTGATATCTCTACGAATTCGACTAACTGGAGTGTTTTTGTTAAGCTTTTGGCTGTCTGGAAGCCAAAGAATGATTCTGAAGGGAAGAGGAAGAGCATGATATTAGTAGATCAATAGGTATATATATTTTGCGTGTAACTTTATTAGGCTAAGTATAATTACTGTCTAACGTAAAATGTTATATCGTTTTACAACACAGGGTTGTAGGATTGATGCAACAGTTCCATACATTCGATATGCATCACCTTTCCATAATATCATTGTTGAGGGAAAGTGGTATCTACTTTCCAACTTTCAAGTTATGGATAATAATTTAAAAGTTAAAAATTCTCGCCATTACTTGACAATAACGACAATCTATCAAACAACAATGCGAGAAGTGGAAGAGATGTCTTGGAAATCTTACTTTAACTTTATTACATGCACTCAACTTATCAATTCCGAAGTGGTCGATAGAAAATATTGTTATGGTATGTATACTTATACTCTCTATATTCAATACATTTACGAGTTTGGAATATTTCAAATTCAAAATTTCTAAAATATTTTCTTTTAAATTGGAAACAGATGCTAGCGGTATTGTCTCTATTGTTTCACAGCTTTGTGAAGTAACATTTATAGATGAACAGAATGGCTACTCTAATACCGAAAGCGTAGTGACCTTCACCCTTACAGATGAAACGTAAGCATATTTTGAGTTGCCTATATGTTTAGATTTACTAAAAAGTTCTATTATATTAACATACATTTTAATCTTAATGATCAGGAAAAAAGAAATAACATGTGTTGCGGTGGGAAAATCCGCCAAAGAATTTGAAAACACGTGGGAGCAAGTACTTTATGAGTATGATGATGATGTCGAGAGTCCTATTATGTTTGTTTTGCGTTTTTGGAGGATCTCTGTGTACGAAGGTTAGTACTGATATTCTTACATTATTACATCTTTGGCTATAATTTTATTTCACATGCTGTGTGTATAATTGTGTACCAATTTCAAAACTTAGCTACTCATTATTCTACAATTTACATAGGTATTCCATCTCTCTTTTCTCAATATGGCTGTTCAAGAATTTTCCTTAATCACGAGTTCATGGAGATGAACATGGAGACACTGCTGTAAGTTTAACGTTTTGCGATGCTTTTTTGTAACTTATTTTAAAACATGTAATAAATAATTGCTATGTTTATAATTATTTTTCAATTTAATTGTACACAGGGGTGAAGAACCAGAGTTCAATCCTCAAGATGACAGCTCAGATGAGGATTAATGATCTATTTTCTATAGTTTAATTTCCGTTTCATGATTATGTAAGATGGTGTTGTTTATCTCATTCAATCAATTATAAAAAAATTCAATAAAATTTATGTGATAATTATTATCACTCTAAAACTAATTTTATAACAAAACTATAATAGATGAGAATATTTGACACGTAAATAAATGTAAAATATACATATATTTTACCATACCGAACTCTATTTATATCGAAATATTCAGTATAAGAATTTGCATTGGAGACTTCAAAATATTATGATGGCTAACCTACTTTTTTTTTTATTTCGATACTTTGAATCCATTGACACACGAATGGAAAATAAGAGTCAAGATTCTGAGAAAATTTACGTGTACTACTCCTCCTTACAACTCGAGAAAATTTACGTGTACTACTCCTCCTTACAACTCACTCGATCTGTTTTTAGTAGATGGAAAGATATTTTCACGAATTAGAGTATTGAAATCTTTATTTTTACGCATCTTTAATTTTTTTCTTAGGCTTCTAATATATAACGATCTTATATTACTTTTATTTTATATTTGCTAAAAAATCAAATTTGTTTGTATCCTAAGGACAAAAAATTCATGCCGTGATGGGTCGAGAATTTCAAGACGTTTTTACACAAAGACTTCATGAGGGGAACTGGATATTAATTTCAGGATTTTCGATGAGCAGAGTTATCGGTAATTTTAGACCAACCGATTATCGTTTTATGATACATTGGAAATCGACGACATGGTTCAGGAAAATTGCTTTGTTGACTTCGGATTATTTTTTTTCTTTCGTATCATTTAGTGATATCAAGAGTGGATATCTTGATCCTATTTACTGTGTTGGTAAGTTTTAATTTGTATTCATCTACTTTCTTATTCACAGTCTAATTCTAATTTATAAGTCGCTTACGTATATATGTACATATCATTGGACGAGTAATGGCTGTAGGGAATCGAAACCAACATGGTCCTCCTGACAACGACTGGAATGAGATATTCTTCGAGTTAGAAGATCTTGAGTATGTTAATTAATTATCTTATACATATTAATAATCGATTTTTTATTCTACCAATTCTAATTTTCTAAAATATTAATCAAGGGGTGATCGATTACCATGTCGTTTACCGAGATCATACGCGAACAATTTCTTTAATGCTTGAAGACATTCGGTTGACAATATCATTATATGTGTAATGATGTTTGTTAGACTCGAGATTAACCAAGGTTGTTTCTACCTCTAGATCTTTACTTATGATACCTTTAGCATATTGTATAACAACATTGGGATCTAAGCTGTGTAGGTAACTAAATAACTAAGGTAGAAACGTGGAGAGCTTCGACGGTGCATAATTGTACGAGCGTAATGATAAATCCATTATGTCTGCACGTGACGCAGATGAGAGATGCCTTTGCTGATATGGAAGATGAAGAATTTTAAGTTTGAAGGAGTTTATTTGAGACTTTAACGTTTTTTTTTCTTTGGATCTACTTCATAGAGGCTGAATTATTAATGTTTTCTAGATTTTTCTTAAGATTATATATATTTAATTTACTTAAACAGATTAATAAAATATTATTCAGCGTATGGTTAACTAAAATAACATCATTGTTATTAAGCTTTGCATAATTAAAGTCTCTAATATTTTTATTATTAGACAAAAGATATTATATTAGGAAATCGTCCTTAAATCTTTGTAAACATGATCCCTTATCATATTTCATAACAAATTTACCTTTTATTTCCCATATTGTTAAATTTTCAAGAAAAGACATTAATAATAAAAAACATATTTGTTAAATATTTTAGAATGTTTAATTTAGGTAAACATCAAATTTACCTCTTTTTAAAATGGCTCATAATAGACAAAAAAAAATAGAAAAGAGAAATTATTCGCTTATAAAAAATGAAGATTAACATTTATAATATTTGTAGGAAATAATATTTAAATTTGAATAAAAGATAAATTTTAAATTTCTAAGTCCAATATAATGAATTTAGAATCTTTACATACTTATCATGCTCTAGAATTTACTCATAATTAAATCTAAGGAAATAATTCATTATTATCATAACTGATTGAATATATCGTATAGACGATTATTTAACTATAAATACGCATACACATGTTCCTAAAGTTTACAGCTACTTTTCCATCATGGCCTCTAAAAAACAAAAAAAAATTCTCCTTTTTTTCTTGCTAGCGAAATCAATCCTGCTAATGATCAATACAAGATCAAAGTGCATGTTATGCGGATTTGGAAATCGTTCAAGACTCTAGAGATGGTTCTAATTGATACAGCGGTACGTTAGCTTCACATCTATTTTGATGCTAATATTTGAATAAGTTACATCATACGTATGTGATAAAATATATGATATATTGTATATGTATAAAACTTTTTTTCTAATGTTTTCTTCTGTATCAAAAGGAACAAGGATCCATGCATCTATTGAGGAGTCTTTGGTCAAAAAAATTCAGCACCAGTTTGCTGTTGGTGATTCGATAATAATAGACACGTTCGACTTAGTTGATTATGATGGTGATTACAGAAAAAGTTCTTTAGGTTTTAAGATGTTGTTTTACAGAACTACCACGGTCAAGCCGTTTGATGATTTCCCAGCTCAAATTTCTGAAAAATATTTTCGTGAATTTTCTGATATCTTGGCCGGAAAAACAGACAGACGTTATTGTTGTAAGATTGGTAATGTATTGTTTTTTAAGTAAATTATTTTTCTAAATCGTATTAATGTTTTGTTGTTTATGTAGATTTAATTGGCCAGATTGTTAACGTAGACTCTCTTGAGAATATCAAAACTAAAGGGAAGGACAATGTGAAATTAAGTTTCGAATTGCAAGATCTAACGTATGGTTTTTGTTTGTTTAAGAGCTTAATTTAGATAATTAATATATTATAATATATTACAATTAAAAACTCACTATCCATTTATTAAATAGGGGTACAAAGTTAAATTGCACGCTTTGGAGTGATGTTGCTAGGAATTTTGAAGGTTCAATAAAAGAACACGATGAATCTGTCGTCGTTTGCGTTATTAGATTTGCGTGCATTAAGGAGTGGAGAGGTAATTGTTCATTGTACATAAGATATTGCTTTCAGGTTTTATTACGGTTATGTATTATATGATTTTCAAATTTCAGGGGTTTATAGCATATCCAACTCTTTCGGTTCAACAGATGTTTTGTTCAATCCAAATATTTCAGAAGTGGAGAAGTTTACTAAAATGTAAGAACTTTCGAATAAATTAATTATGCATGATTGGTATACGTGTTATAGGTATACATACATGTCCTTATTAGTTTATTTTGATTTTTCAAAGGTTGCCATCAGACGTCGACGATTTTGTCCAGATTAATACTGAACCCAAAAGTGAACAACCAAAAGTTACACTATATGAAGAGTTCTTCGTACTCAATGAAAAGATGACAATAGACGACATTCTTTATGCACTAGAGGTATTTTTTAAATTACATGCTATAGAAAAATGATGTATTTAATGGTTATACGTTTGCTTATATTCAGGTGCGTACATGTGTTACGATCGCAAAAATTAGCTCCGTAGAGACATTGCCTAAATGGTACTACATTGCTTGCAACGCCTGTAATAAAAAAGTTCAACCATACCCACTAGATTTTGAAGTCGGAAAAGAACGATTATACAGCTGTGATGTTTGCGACAAAGACGTTACAGAGGTTGATTGCAAGTACGAGTCACTCATTAGTTTGTTCTTTAAAATTGATACACCTATGAAATTGTGGCGAAGACCATTGAGTTGTGTTTTTTTATTTTTATAACATTAGGTTTAAATTGGTCTTACATGTCTCATATGGAAGTTCGCCACATATTAGTTTGTTCTTTAAAATTGATACACCTATGAAATTGTGGCGAAGACCATTGAGTTGTGTTTTTTTATTTTTATAACATTAGGTTTAAATTGGTCTTACATGTCTCATATGGAAGTTGGCTCAACTTCTCATTGGAAAGAAGGCTGATGAATTGGTTGCAAAGATAGCTGAGGTAAAAATTTTAACATTCATGTTCATGATAAATTTAATAAACGGTATTTAACCAATAGATTCATATGCTTCAGGATGATCCTTCAACTATTCCCATTGCTATTTCTTCGTTTATTGGAAAAACTATGTTGTTTAAGGTTTTGATCACAAATGACAATTTGAAGAGTTCAAAAGCGGCATATGTTGTTGAAAAGTTTTGGGAAGAAGAAGATATGGTCGTACAATTTGTAAAGGTACAATATTATGAATATTAATATTAGCTATTCTGTGATAACGAGAAATTTATTCTGAAATATATTCATGATTCTTACATCAAGAGAGCTATGCAAATGCCGATGTCAACCCTCGAATTCTAGAAATAACAGATGGAAATGACGAGAGTTCTTCAGCTGAATCGGCTTCATCTCCGTCGAAGACGAGAACTTCCCGAAAGAGTGGCGACTCCGCGAATAGTCATAAGATGATTACAATTTTTTTTTTTTTGGTAAATTGACGGGAGTTAGTGCCCTCCCTATGTTTTATTAAAAATTAAAAAAGTCATACAATAACGTTTCTTGGCCGAGGCTGACCAACAACATCCTCGTTTAACAATGACGCCAAATCCGGCGGAACAACATTAAAAAAAGAAAAGCCTAAAGGTAAAGAAAACGCATAGTTCGCTAACCCATCCGCAAGACGGTTAGCTTCCCTATACACGTGTGAAATACGGACTATCCAGTCCCTTGAGATGAAGCCATAGCACAAACGTACTAGGAAGGACAGCGGATGAGAATCACTTATCCCTGTCTTAAGAAAACCAACAACTATTTCCGAGTCTACTTCTAGCTCAAGACGCGTGATCCCTCGCTCCCAAGCCATGTATAAACCATAATAGACTCCCCATAATTCTGCTAAAGGTGCAGTGCATATCCCAATATTGAGAACAAAACCACAACACCATTGCCCGTCACCATCTCGTAACACACCACCCGCTGTTGCTAAGCCCGGATTCCCTCTCGATGCTCCATCCGTATTTAGCTTAATCCATCCATTCGACGGCGGCTTCCACGCAATCAACTGCTCCTCTCGGATTACCCTATCCAACCTACAGGTCGCTAACACGTGAGCCTCAAACATCTCCTTAGCCATAATATGATTACAATGAAAAAGATCAAAACTAAGAAACTAGCTTAAGATTGGTTTTATTATTTTGGATTATTTTCAAACATGCGATGCTTCTAATATTGTGGTTTATTATTTTGGATTATTATTTTGGATTATCAAAAACATGCTAATCTTTTAATTGATTTAATTTTTATTTTTTTTACTCAACTATATCATGATAAGAGATAATTTGAAATACTATGGTTATATATTATAAGGTATATTGAAATATTATAATAGTATTATAAAGAAATTATGATTCAAGAATGAAATTAATTAAAAAATTATTCAAGTATATTTAAATATTTGATTATTTAAAACAGCATATAATCTATGTTTTTACAATATTGTAACAGTAAAAAAGGTCTATAGAACTTTAAAGTAAAGTGTATCCCTAATACAAAAATATATGCAAAACTATAGATAAGCAAAATTTCTAATTTAAAGGATAATGAAAATGTCAACAATAATATATATTAAACTAAATGGAAATATACAAATTCGCTAATAAATTAAATTAAATTAATTATAATATTAATACAATTCTTAATTTGATAATCACGAAATCTCTTCACCATGCGTTTATATATTAGATACATAATATAGTTAAACCTATCGTCCATTTCTTTGAGTTGAACATCAAGTAAAGATGATATTATAGACGTAATTTCATGTTAGCACAATGATTTACTGTATTTTTTTTTTTTGTAGGTCGTTACGTTTAGGGAAATACAATGCGATCTTCCAAGCTTCCATATCGGAGAAAGAAAGATGCAACTCATGGTATGATTAGAAAGAGTTAATCAATCTTCGAAATCTATACAAAAATAAAAATTAAAGAACGCTGACTTTTCAATTTCTAAGTTTTACAATTCAGGTCTTAATTCTAGCAATAGTTAGCCAGTTTTTAAATCTATAGAAGATGTCTCTATAATGAGACCTACGAAGCTTCCATACCGGAGAAAGAAAGATGTATCTCATGGTTCGACTAGAGAGAGTAACTAAATCTCTCAAATCTTTAAAAAAAATATTATAGAACGATTTCTTCCAAATTTCTAATCTTTATGATTTAGGTCTTAATTATAGACATAGTTAATTTAAATCTATAGCAGATGTCTCTATACCTACATCTATACATCACCAATTCGAAGACATCACACACAAAAACGTATGTCAAATCGACAGGATGAATAGAATGCGTGTTTTGAAATCAAGAAGAACGGAGAAGGGTAACCAAGGTAACATTAACTTTTATTAATTAAACTCTTAATGAGTAAAACAGCTTCTCATCAACATGCTAACCAATTATTGATCATTGTGTAGAAACTTTGCTACTACCTGGGTTACAAGAAGATTTTGTATGTTTTATTGCTACTGATACGGAGTCAAATAGAGGAAGCGAAAATGATATGTCTACTGATGAGTCTGCTACCGAACATGGTGATGATAGTACAACGTCTAATGTAATCGGCGGATTTACGGCTGTTAGAGCTGGGTTACAAGAGAACGATTTGTTTGGTTTCCACTTTAGTTTTCCTATTCGATTACTATCACTAATAATAATAATAGTAATATGTAAATCATATATTAAGATAAAAGAAATTTAGCAGCGCTTATGTATTAAATTTTGTGCAGGATATTACGATGATGGCGATCCTTTTTATACATGTGAGAATTGTGGAGCCTATATGTGGTTTGGAGAACGTGTGAATAAAAAAATCAAAAAAGGAAAGCCAGTTTTTTCAATGTGTTGTCATCATGGAAAAGTTAAACTCCCGCTTCTCAAACCTCCACCGAGTACGTTGTCATCGTTGTTCTATAATCACGATGATAGGAGCATCAATTTTCGTGATAATATAAGAGCATACAATATGATTTTTTCGTTCACATCTTTAGGAGGCAAGGTTAACCATTCTGTTAATGATGGTGCTGGACCCTATCTGTTTCAAATGTGTGGAGGAAATTATCACCGTATTGGTGATATTTTGCCAGAACCGGGAAAAACACCTATGTTCTTACAGCTATATATTCATGATATACAGAATGGGGTTTCTAATAGAATAAATGCATACGGGTAATAATAACATCTTTGTGTTCTCTTATATAATGTTTTAATTTAATTTTCCAAAAAAAATAATTTCACATTTTTGGTGTTTTTATAGAAGATCTGCATCGATCGAAAATTTGAGGCCTTCGACTGTAGAGCTAATCAAGAAGATGCTTGATAATCATAATCCGCACGTCCGGGCTTTTAGGTCGGCAATAGAGAGGTCAATATGGATTACGGTGTGGAAGATTTAAAATTACGTTTGCCTTCGGATAGAGCTTCTGATGCGAGGACTCATAATCTACCTACTTGCAATGAGGTTGCTGCTTTGATTCCTGGTGATTTTAATTGCGGTGAGAATAAGCGTGACATTATTATAGGGAATTTACAAATAATAAGCGAGCTGCATCCGGCATATTTACCTTTACAATATCCTTTGTTGTTTCCATATGGAGAGGACGGTTACCGGTTAGGGATTGACATAGGTTTTGTAGATATTGCTGGACGGAAAAGGAAAACCATTAGCATGAGGGAATTTTATGCTTATCGAATTTTGGAGAGATATGGAGAAGCGTCTACGGTTGTTATGTCCGGAATATTATTCCAGCAGTTCTTAGTGGATGCCTTCACGACTATAGAATCGAACAGATTGAATTATATTTGGATGAGCCAAAAAAAACTTCGGACAAAAAGAATAGATAAGATACTTGAAGCTGCTGATAAAGGACGTACTGATGCAGAACGTAAAAGAATTTACATACCTTCGTTGTTTACTGGGGGGGAACGGTATATGATGCAGCATTATTTAGATGCAATGGCCACTTGCAAATTCTTTGGTTTTCCGGACCTTTTCATAACGATCACTTGCAATCCTAAGTGGCCTGAAGTTGTGCGTTATATAACTAGACATCGTCTTAAACAAGAGGATAGACCAGATATTTGTTGCCGGGTTTTTAAAATGAAGTTAGATAAGCTTATGCATCAAGTCACCAAAGAAAAAACTTTCGGTACGGTGAATTCTGGTACGTATCTTATTTTAATAAACATTTGATTAATAATCTTATACAAATATATATATATATATATATATATATTATGTTGTCGTTTTGATTTTTACGCAGCTATGTATACAATAGAATTTCAAAAAAGGGGACTGCCTCATGCTCACATGGTCTTATTTCTGCATCCAGATTGTAAAATGCGCAGAACGGACGACATAGATAAATTCATAAGTGCTGAAATACCGGACAAAGAAGTGGATAAGTATTTATATGAAGTTGTTTCTGATGTTATGATTCATGGGCCTTGTGGACGTCAATACAATGATAGTCCTTGCATGAAGGATGGTAAGTGCACAAAATTCTTTCCAAAGCCTTACGTAGATAATACTGTGATAGATGATGCTGGTTATCCAGTATACAGGCGAAGAGATGATGGAAGATGGGTACATAAGAGAGGTTTCGACTTGGACAACAGATATGTTATTCCGTATAATCGAGAATTGTCGATACGTTATCGTGCTCACATAAATGTAGAGTGGTGCAATCAGTCACGTTCAATCAAATATCTTTTCAAATATATCAGCAAAGGACCAGATTATATCAGAGCATCTTTAGGAGAACAGGATGTAGAAAATAAAATAAAACAATATTTTAACTGCAGGTATGTATAGTAAAATTATAACTCTATTATATTTAAACATATTGATGTTCAAGGTAACACTAATATACTTAAATCATGCGTTTGTGTAGATATTTATCAGCATGCGAAGCTACATGGAGAATATTAGTGTCCCCGATATGTATCGTTCAACGCCTGTTGAAAAACTGCCCTTCCATCTTCTTGGCCAGGAATTGGTTATTTATAAAGAGGATGATCCAATAGAAAATGTTATGTCACGTTCAACAAATGGAGGAAGAAAATTCTTAGCATGGGTGGAATGCAATAGACTTGACCCTGAAGCTAGGAAGTTAACGTATGCCGAATTTCCGGCCGCTTATGCATGGTATAAAAACAAAATGTGGAAGCTGAGATCTAGGAAAAGAAAAATTTTTGCAATAGGAAGGATTACGTACGTACCACCTTCTATAGGGGATTCTTACTACTTAAGAGTTTTGCTTAATAAAATTCCAGGTGCGACCAGCTTCGAATTCTTGAAAACGGTAAACGGGGTTCTTTACGGAGAATTTAAAGATGCTTGCTATGCATTAGGATTATTGGATGATGACAAATAATATATTTCAGCCATAAAAGAAGCAAGTTTCTGGTGTCTTGGGAAGTACTTAAGGAAGTTATTTGTGATACTATTGATTTCAAAGAGTGTATCTGTTCCGCTTAATCTTTGGCTCGCGACAAGAGATATACTATGCGAAGATATTTTATTCCTTCACAGAAAGTGCATGAATGATCAAGGTACATAGAAATCTTAGTGAACTTTTTATAAAATATTTGGTCAATTGTTTATGTATGTCTTTATAAGATATTTTTTATAATCATCGGTATAAATAATTCTCGGTATAAAATTTATTAATTCTATTATACAAAATGAAATGCATGTATTATGTTAACACAAGCTCAAATATGGAACATATGTTTGTCGGAAATCGAATTGCTAATGCGTTCGAATGGCACTTCCCTTTCTTTTTTCACTAATATGCCAACACCAGACGATAATGTGCTAAATCCTAATGAAAATAGGCTTATCATGGTTGAGAAAAACTATAAGCCTCATGAACAAAAGACAGAATACAACAGACTATTTGCTATGTTAACTAAAGAGCAAAGACGTGTTTATCAGGAGATAATTTACTCGGTAAATCAAAACAAGGGTGGTATGTTTTTTGTGCATGGATTTGGTGGTACTGGAAAAACTTTCTTGTGGAGTATTCTTGGAGCTGATATTCGATCTAAAAGTAATATTGTTCTAAACGTTGCATCGAGTGGAATAGCTGCTTTGCTGTTGGAAGGTGGTAGGACAGCTCATTCTAGGTTTTGTATACCTATCAATATAAACGAATATTCAATGTGTTCGATCGATGCAAAGTCCGATCTAGCAGAATTGATTAGAGAAGCAAAACTCGTTATATGGGACGAGGCTCCGATGATGAACATACATTATTTTGAAACGTTGGATAGGACTTTGCAAGATAAAATGAAGTGCAATAGGATTTTTAGAGGTAAGATAGTTGTTTTGGGAGGTGATTTTAGACAGATTCTCCCAGTAATTCCTGAAGGTGGTAGGGTCGCAACAGTTTTGGCCTCTATAAACTCATCGTTGCTTTGGCCAAGTTGTAAAGATTTAAAGCTTACAGAAAATAAGCGCTTACGAAAAGGTGTTAATAACGTGCAATCGGATGCTCTCGCCGAGTTCTCAAAGTGGCTTCTGGATATTGGTGATGGGAAAATCAACGAGCCAAACGATGGCGAGGTCGAAATAGAAATACTCGAAGATTTACTAATAACAGCATCTGAGGATCCTATCCACGCAGTTGTTCATGGAATCTATGGTAAATCTTTCGCTAAAGAGAATGACCCAAAATTCTTTAAGCGAAGAGCTATTCTTAGTCCAAGGAACAAAGACGTTGATAAAATCAATCAATATATGCTTTCTCAACTACTAGGTGTGTATTAAAAATAAGTATAGTAGATTACCTGTGTCTTATACATATTTAGCAATATTATTATAGGTGAAGAAAGGTGTTATCTTAGTTTGGATTCCATTGAAACATCGGATACGAGTGTTTTCGACGATATGGTCTACTCGCAGGAATTTTAAAACAGTATAAACGTTTCTGGATTACCTAAGCATGAATTAACATTGAAGAAGGGAGCCTCTATCATGTTGCTAAGGAATATAGATCCTAAAGGTTGTTTGTGCAATGGTACGAGGTTAATTGTTACTCAGATGGCTAATTATGTTATAGAGGCAAGAATCGTAACAGGTAACGGTGTTAATGAAAAAGTACTTATCCTAAGAATGTTTGTGTCTCCGCCAGATGCAAAGTTTCCTTTCCGTATGAGGCGTCGCCAATTTCCTGTAGCTCTTGCATATGCAATTACTATTAACAAAAGCCAAGGTCAAACGTAGGAATACGCTGGATTGTTTTTACCAAAGCCAGTCTTTACACATGGACAACTATATGTTGCATTATCTAGAGTGACGACGAGAAAAGGATTGAAGATTTTGATTACGAATGAAGATGGGGCATGTCAAAACAAGACCATTAACGTAGTTTTGAAAGAAGTTTTTGATAACATTTAGTTACGTATCAAGTTGTTGCATCTCCAGTTTTACGTGCTTTTTTTCATGCAAGAATAAGTATTATCATGCATCCACTTTTTTGGTTGCACTCTTGAATAATTTCGCTTTGTATAGTTAATCTTTTCAATTGTTGATCGAATAAACCTAATGAATTTTCTAAATAAATTCTCTAATTCTTATAGTCGCTACTTAAAAATGCATTACAACTAAAGAATTAGATTGAAGGTGTAAAAGTTTCTTTATAATTAGCAAATAGAGTATGATAATTTTAAAATATATGAAGATGTAATTTCGAAAGGGAAAAAAGCTTAAAAATACCCGATCTATTTTTTATTTGGACGTTTAATACCTCGTCTTTTTTGGTTGGAATAAAAATATTTCATTTAATTATTTTTGGTATAAAAATACTTTATATTATAAACTGTTGGTAATTTCAAACCCGTGACTTAACCTCCATTAACGGACGTTAGATGTTCATTAATGGTGTTAAATTGTAATCTCACATATTTAAATAGATATTGGTATTTTGTTACATAATCTTGCTCATATATTATTTTGGTCAGATGGTAATTCAAAAGATGGCTATCCCTCAGAGAACAGGTGTTCGACTCCCCTGAGGAGCATTTGGATATATATAGTTTTTTGTTGCTTTATCAGGTATAGCAGATAACCCAGATCCGTTGCTTGAAAAATTCATCGAGCGCCGAGTTGACTGACGATATTTGGATCTGAGTTTAGTTCATCAATTTGGTGGTATTCAAAGGTTCTTTGAATTTCATATATTCATCCTTCAATGTTGTTTACTTCTCCATATGTTTCTCAGCTTCTTCCTTGTCCAATAAAAAAAAAACAAAATCAACCCCCGAGGTATTAAACGTCCAAATAAATAATAGATCGGGTATTTTTAAGCTTTTTTCCCAATTTCGAAAGTTTCAATAGTAGTTTACATTGTTGTTTTTTTTAAGTTTCACATGTTTACCTTTCCATGTCGATACTTTGATAAACTATAAAAAAAAACACTTGGATATCTTTTTTAAAGTTTCACATGTTTACCTTTCCATGCACGAATAAGCATTACCATGCATCCTCAAGATGTTAGTTTTGTTTACAAACTTGAATAAGAATGTTATTGCATTTATTTTTTTGTTGTTTAAAATTTTAAATCTAATAAACTATTGGTTTTTTATTTTAAAAAATGATACTTAATCAAATTACTAATTTGTTAGCTATGTTAAAATTATTAATCCATTAACCGATGAATTTAAAGTAGGGAATATATTTGGAAATTCGATAAGTGTTAAAAAATCTGTAAGGTAACAATGTTTTATCAAAAATAACCAACATTAATCAAAACTAATTTATTATTTATGGTTTGATTACAAAAAAAAACTATGTTTACACGAAATAATAGTTTTATAAAAAAATGAAAAAAACTTAATTGAAAACAGAAACGACGCACTATTTCGATTTATGATTATATATAATGTTTCATTAATAGACTTTTCATCTTCTTCCTACTCTGTATCTATTTGGTAAAATTGAAACCGATAAAAATCTTAAACACAGAGTCTCTTCTTCTATACTCTTCTTCTATACTTTTCTTCTACACAGCGTTTCAAAATGCGGAGAGACGGCATAGCCAATTTGAATCCGTCGAGGACTGATTGGAACATAGACGTGAAGATTTTGAGTATTGCTTACAGGAGAGATTTCATGACGAAGAGGGTTTTAATCCTTGCTGATCAAAGGGTAATTATCTATCATATTCACATATAGCATTTGTTTGTAACTTACATATAATCATTGAATCGATTAGTTGAATGATTTACATATAGCAATTGAAGCAATACTTAATTATTGTGATTATGGTTGGACATAACGTTCTAAGTAGATGAATTCTAAATGTAGTTGCACTAAATGCAATTCTTAAGAACTTTATAACATATTAATCACTAGAACTGCTTAATATGTTATATTGATTGATTTAGATATAGCAATTTAAGAAATACTGAATTTTTATTGTAGGGTGATCGTATTAAGGCTTCTATATTCTGCAAAAATTTCAAACGCTCTGTACCTAATCATATTTACGATGGGGAATGGTATAACAGTCATCAAGCCAGTCTTGCAAGAACGGAACACCAGCCATCAGTATCAGATAAACTTATTTGAGGAGACAGACATGATGATCCTAGAAACTCTGTCCACCAAAGATTACTACCGGTTTGAAGATTTTAGTCATGTCTTCAAAGGAGTCATCCCATTTGTAGGTGCTGAAATTCACCTACTAAGTTAATTATCTAAGATTTATAAGAGGGAACAAAACTAGGGCTAAGCTCTCGGATCTACAACAATGAATATCGAACTCGAGATGGAAAATGGACTTTTATATTTATGAGTATTGCTTTTTTCAAATGATTACAAGATGATTTGCTCAGATTGTAAACATTCTCCTTTTATAAATCCGATAGTACGCGATCTCCACTTTTCCTTCATGGATCTTCGCCTCCCCCTTCTCTGCTTCAGCTCCCAGATTATCTCAACAACTCACGCAAATCTCTTGTTGGGCCTTCGGCCCATCCCCAATCGCACATTATTCAAGCTTTTCCTTACGGGCCTTAACTGGGCTTTGACCACAAGAAACCCAGTACCAACAATTGCCCCCCAGTCCAATTAAAAAGTTAAATTTTTATTGAACGTATACTCAGAGAATCCTGCAACGGTTGGGTTTCTTGCAGATACACTTGAGATCAACTCGAATCTCGATTTTCTTGTAACGAAATGATTTCCCACACGCATCCAACGGCAGAATCCCCTTGATCGAACGGTTCAGGATCGCGATGTAAAGATACGCGGGATTTCGCTACCCACTACTGTTACATCATATAAATTGCAACTTTAGGCTTTCTTCTTTTTTATTATCAATGCACTCGTCCACTACCCGAGGTAAACGTCTCTTCCCTTTTCACTTCGTACTCTTTATTTGCTTTCATTTACTTTTTAATCGCATAGCAACCGTACCACTTCTCCTGCTTCTTGTTCTTTTCTCTCGAAATCACTTCGACCACGTCTCTCTTTTTCGAACGAATTCTATCTCTCCACCTTGCGTTTTATTTAAAAGCAAAAATTTGCGATATGGGTTCCATAGAGATTTGGGGAAATCATCTTCCACCCATCACGACGGAGAAGCACCTTTCCAATATGCGCCAACGCCACGGCGTTCCGTCAACCGTTGAAATGATACTTTCACCGGGCGCGCCTTACACACCAGAAACGGTTCCTCCGAGATATTGTTGCGCCAATACTACCTACTTCGAACGTTGTGGCCTGGGGTTCCCCATTCCCGAGGTCTTCTTCCGAGTTCTCAGTCGCTTTTGGATGGCGTTTCCCCAGACGTGCCTAATTTCGTGCGACACGTGATAGGGCTTTACGTGCGAACCCGAGAAGAGCAAGTACTCCTCGGAGTTGACGAGCTAGTTCAGTTATGCCTCATCAAGCATAACTCGGGTTTCCCCAGAACGTACTACCTCTCCCGCCGCCCTGGGCGCGACGTGCTCGAAGGGATCCCCAGTCGGGATGACCGCTGGCGGGAGAAATGTTTTTTCTCTAAAATCAACCCAGCCTCTGTAGGCGACCTCGATTTCGCGTGACTGCCCACTCTATGGGCTACTAGCGTTAGTCAATGAGACCGAAATCCGAAAAAAAACTTTTTTTTTTTAACATCGCTCATGATTACTTTGCTCGTATTAACAGATCGCCTCTTTTTCTTTTTGATTTCAGATTTTGGCGACCGACCCCTGACTGGAGCCATTCGAGGTTTAGCCGACCGCCAACATAACGGACAGAACCGTTGGAACACATTCTCTCGTCCCCGTATTATCGCTGCGTTGACCCGTGTACCTCATCAGCCAATCCTTCAGGTTCAGATCCGAGCTCCAGCACCGCCAGGAGATCAGGAAAGAAGTAATCCTTCTTCAGAGAGAGTCCCTAGTTCCGCTTCTGTTTCCACTCCGCTCAACATGTCGAGAAGAACATCCCTACGCGAGCGCCAAGATCAGGCATCTGGCTCTCGGAGAGTACGAGCTGGAGAGGTTAACGAAACTTTTGCTTCCGCACTCCGTGGAGTGTCCAACACTCCTCCGGCGGCCCCGACTGAGACTGCTGACCACGGGAAGGTCATCACGTTGATGAGCTCCCAATCAAAGGGATATGATCCTGCTCCTCCTCAGTCAAAGAGGGCCAGGACTGAATCTGAACGTCCGGCAGACACCCGGGAAGGTCGCAGCGGTTCTCGCCGCGAGCATTGATCAAATCCTTCTCGAGCCGACGCCCGTGAAGGTGACAAGTCTGATTCCACCTCGAACGGCTTG